CAAGGTTTGGATGAGAAAGGGTGGGCCTTGATTAAGCTTGCTGAATCCACACTGTGCTGTTCTGAACACTACTCGGGTAACTGGACACTGCCGATGTCACCACCTGAACCCATCATTTATGGGGCATTATCCTCTCTGACTAGATCTCCAATGACTCTCTCTCTCACTAACAAAGCAATCACTCCCTCTGTCTTGCAGCCCAGTCTTCCTGGTTATCTGTGACTCCATCCTTCTCTCATCTCCTTACACCCCAGAAGCTTCCCCAGGTTCCACGTTTCCCCATCCGGCTGCCCGTGGTCCCCTTTTCCAGACTGGCCTGAACAATCTCAAACCTGAATGACAGCAAGAGGCTCCGAAAACATTTCCTACCTCCTTTCTACTCCCCTAATCTCTCCGTCTCCAATTCCTACCAGATTGTACATCAAGATTAATCTCATCATATTCTCCCATGTTGTTCAAATACTTTCCTTGATTCAAATACCACAATGAAAGAGAAGAAAGCCAAAGTATGAGCCTGGCATTCAAGAGCTGCGGAAGGTGGACAGACCTTCCTTTCTGCACCTGCTGCTGTTGGCCAGCACAAACCTTTCCCTCCAGTCACAATGAGCATGGCCTCCTCCACTTCCCCCCCAACAAACAGCTAGGTTGTTCTCATCTCTTTTGCTCACACCATCTGCCACATGACCTGAAATGTGTAACGAATTCCTTACATCGCTATCTATTTTAATTCCACTCATGCTTCAGACTTAGCTTAGATCCCAAGTTGGCAGCAAAGCTTTCTTTTGCCTTCCTAGCCCACAGTGGTCTCCGCTCCGGACTTCCCACAGCCAACTGGTTGTGGCTATTTCTTTGGTACTTGATAAGCACTTCTTTGTGTTATCAGAATAATTAATTTTGCATGCATATATATATCTTGTTTCTTGCAACACAATATAATCCCTGCCCTCATGAGGCTGATGGTTTGGCAAGGAAACATACTACCATTAATGGGCATTAATGAAATGATTATAAAAAGAATTATGTACACAAATATATATGTTTAGAGAAAGGAACTACGTAAAATTAAGAATTTCAAAATAATTTTCATACACTATACCTGTCAACTCATTCTGAGTCAGCCTGCCTTCCATTCAAGTTAAAAAGAAAATTGTTAAATATTAGAGGTTCTCTGTACATGTTCAAAAAGAAAAAGAAAAAGAGGAAGACAAATAACTAGAGCAGTTTGTTTGAGAAATCAGTTTGTCAGTCGTGATGTTTTGAGATTCGCCCAGAGATGAGGTCATTCATTCTAAAGCATTACTGAGGCCCTGACCACACTGCCCTTCACAGAATTCCTTCCAGGGAATAAATATCACAGAACGGCTTTTATGCTTAAAAGTTATACTCTAAACTTATATGTAAGTTTGCTTTAAGACCCAAGAGTATGAAATCCATTTGTGTTTGCCACTGCCCCATTCAGTGTCTCCTGTAACAAAGCAAAATGAAATTCTTTGCCAGAATTCAGGACAAGGAAAAATTCCCCTGTGACAGTTGTCGGGTCCATCGTTTCTGATGCCTGAAGCTCCGTGATGCACCACATTTCCCCTTTATCCCACCTCCAAGGAAGCTCATGAATTAAGTAATAAAATTCATGAAATCAAAACACATTTGATTCTCCTTCCTCCATGGTCATTTCCTCCTCTATATGTTTTTGTAAATCATCTCGATTCCTTTTTGGAGTAAAAGCATTTTCTTGAATAAGTCCAAGAAATTAAAGTCCCTTCTCTATGTAAGTCTTATTGTCAGCATAATTTTGGATTTCTCTGTTCATGGGAATCTCTAATATGTAATCCTCCAAAAAGCTAGGATGCATTATTTGAACACGTGCTTATTTTTTAAACAATGGAGCCATCCACGCAAATGCCAAGGAGGGACATTGGAAGAGTATTCTAGGGGAACCCATTTTTCATAAATCCTTATATAATACCTCAACGTGATTCAGTATTAAACCTGAATACTGAATGAAATGTACCAATTCTGAATTTACATGTGCTCCTAAATTATTTTCCACATTTGGGAAATTTAGAACTTATGCCCAGTCTGAAATCATAACTACTAATATGCAGGAAAACCAACTCTCTCACATTATTCCAATCACACAGCAAAGGTGAGGAGATCATTTAAAATGCATTTAATCATTTGTGTCTCTGATAGCTGCAATGCCATTTTGCAAGGGTCACTGTTTTTATTTGGGTCAATTCCCTCTACAAACTATAAATCACAAGAGGGCTTCACGTTGATAACTGAATAGCCATGTTGTAATATTTCTGTCTCATAAAAAAATAGAATTAATAACCAATGAAGTGGATTAAATCATGTGCTCACAGAATAATTCACTTTTCCTCACACCTGCCTTAAATTGATGATGTTGCATTGTCCTTCTAGAGTCTATTAAGAAGAGACTTTCTATAATAAAATAAACATCCATTTCACAAGTTAGTGGCATGCAGGGGGCAAGGAACAGGTAGTGACATTCTGTTTAATATTGTACTTGGCGTTTTGTAAGTGAGTTACAAAAAAGAGACTGTTCACTTAAGCTCACAAAATGATTCCAATTATTCTGTAAACCATTCCAATTTCCATGCTTGTCATTAACAACCCGACTCCTCACTACATACATACACTGTCATCACCACCACCACCACCTACTGCAGATTTGCATCTGCAAATTGTTAAGGGTTTAAATATGGCCTTTAAAAAAAAAACAAGTCACATATAAATGCCACCTATTTAGGAACAAGCTGGAAACATTTATCACATTCCAAGTCAATAAGAACAATATCTGTGCTTGCATGAAATTCTGGATTCTTTTCCTAACACAGCAAGGCGGTCAGTTGCGGATCATCCCCTGCTGCGCACAACTCCGTGCTCAGAGCACAGCCAAGGGGGAGCTGGAAGGGGGACAAAGTCTGACGGGAGGGAGCAAAAGACAGTGTCACAGAGGACGACATAATGCCTGACTTGGATGCAAAGGAAAAGAGAAATTAGCCGAGTCAGCAAGAAGGGCCGAGCATATGGGCATCAGGAGGCGCCCACGAAAGGTGCAGAGGCAGGAGAGGGTGGAGCAGGCTTGGGAGCCGGCAAACAATGCTGGGCATGGGGCATGTCAGACGCCACATCTGAGGTCAGGCAGGAGTCCGTCAGAAAGAGCTTTGGATGGGGATGGAGCGCAGACCTCACGCATGTGACAGGAGCCACTTCGCCATGTAGAAAAATGATTCCAGGAGCAAAACCCAGAATGAGTTGCAGGAGGAGGGAACGGCCAGGAGCAAATGAGCAAGAGTTTGTGAGTGAGGAAGAAACGGTAGCCAAGAAGGGAGGCAGAGAGAGATGGAAGGAGACGGGTGAGGAGCTCCCGAGGAAACCGAGTCCCGGGTCCACCTGGAACCCCACGCTCACCTCAGGCTGCCTCTGAGGAGCCGGGTGTCCCCTCCTGTCCCAGGTCACGGCCCAGAGACACCTGCAGAGATGCTGTCTTCCTTCCAGACCTGCATGTGCACTTCAGCCTGGTTCCTTAGCCCACAATGAGCAGTGCATCAATTAATCGGACCCTTCAGATAAAACCACCTCCACCAGCAATGAAATCTCCCCTCGGACCTTCCTCTGTTCTCAGCCAATTCCCATTCCCTCCCTCCATTTCATCACCAAACTTCTTCAAAGTATGACATATACAATATAAAATATATACATTTTATATATTTATGTAATAGAAACAGATGGCGATAGGTGGGGGAACAATCAGAGATTGAAAAGTATATGTGATATTATGTATGTATACATATTTTTTTGTTTTATCCTTAACTCATCACCATCTGTTTCTAACAAAACTTCCAGATTGAACATTCCCACCCTGAGTCACCTACGATTTTGTAATTGCTAAATTCAAAGTCCTATTACTGAGTTCTGTTCCTAATTGACCCAGAAGCATTAAAAATTTTCCTTTTCCCCATCACACTTACCACCAATTTGCATAGTATACATTTATTTCGTGTCTCTCTCCCTTCTGGGGGAGGTAAGTTTCTGTGAGAACAAAGACCCTGCCTTTTTGATTCAGTGTCTGGAAGAGCGCCTGAAATATAATAAGTGGCCAATGAATACTTCTTGGATAAGTATCAGCCACCTCCTGGCCCAAATCCCTAAGTCGGAAATGGAAACCACACCCAGACTGGGTCAACTTCAGTCTCTCCCCTTAGAATTTAAACCTGGGACCAAAAAAATCAAGCCAGTGTGTCTGAGTAGATGTAAACTCATGTTCACAGTGAACGGAGAATAAAACACATACGGTAGAGAAGTTGAGGCCTGAGACAGAGAAGAACAGCCTGGTAAGATTCAAGAGCCAGTTCCATTTACCCTAATCATCAAAATGAGAGCTATCCTTGGCTTCTGTGAGATACCCCAGTATAGCATGCTCACTTTTCAGCTTAAACTGACTTTGGACTCTTTTTCTGTTGCTCACTACCGTGGGGTGACTCACTAACAGTCCAGAGTTGAACAGGCTCAAAATAAACTCCCCAAACCAATGTCCAAAACAAAAACAGGAAAGAAAGATAAGAGGACAGAAAGTTAGAGTTGGACAATGGTTAACGTACTTTATGAAAATGTGATGTGCCACGGGTGCATCCTCTTTATGACTTACAAACCCTTTATGGGACCCCCCATACTTGGGTCCTGTTTACGGGGAAAGAGCTATGCTCGTGTCTTCTCTAACTAAGGTCATTCATTTTAGCTCTACGGCCACGTTGTGAAATTGAATTTAGAACAAATTTTACCTCCTGCCAGTTTTCCTTAGCCATAGACAAGGGCACCATTACACACAACAGCTGAAGGCCCTGGGGGCGGCAAAGCAAAGCAAATCGAGGCTGCAGGCAAACGAGGGTGCGCCCCGACTCGGCGCTTGGAAACAAAGCTCTCTCTTGGAGCAGGATTAGCTAATCGTGCACGCACGCCGCACTGGTACTTACCGAACAGACGCTGATGGAACAGAAATTTGCCAGCTACTAGTCCTGTGAGAATGGCAAGGAGCCACAGAAGCACCTTCAGGAGCCTCCAGCCACCTCCTCCGGGGTATTTGTTTGTTACAAATGAGAAACAGTTTCCAACGACGATAACATTGGCTTCTGTTTGGCTGTGAGAAACTGGGTCCTCCGCAAATATCAGGAAGTTAAAGAAGATCACCAGGTAAGCCACGATCATGCGAGACCAGGGGTGCTGGAAGTAATACCGGAAGTCTCTACCCATCCTTCAAAGCTTCAGCTCCGCAGTTTGCCTGTGTGAGAAAAGACACACGGGGTGAGGGCAGGAAAACAGTGTCCCCGCCATCTGTCCCCGTCACCGGATTTGGAATGGCCGGATGAAGGGGCAGCTGGAAAAGACGGCGCCTGTCACCGCTTAGGGCGCCACGACACTCCCAGGATGGAGGGGAAGCATTAGCGCCGCCCCGTCACCCGACCGCACCTCCGATCAGAGGAGGACTTGGGGAGGAAGGAGAAGCACAGAACAGAGGTGAGGAAGGGACAGGAGAGAACGGAACACTGTCCACACGGGGATGAGGACAGAGGACATCGGAGGCCACGCAGGAGGCAACGCAGAGCGACAAGACGCCATACTTCCCCCCTTCGAGATTATTATTTGTATGTTACGATCAGAACACAGTCATTTAAAAATTAAAGCAATGAAGCAAATGGAGCAGCCACTGAAAACAATCAGCACCCTCCGCCACCCGCACCCTTCTCCTCAGAGTTCAAGTCCCTAATGATTTAACTTTTTTTTAAAATTTACTTTCAGATCTTACACTATACACTCACAAATGTGCATATGTGTATGTATTTTTGTAAAAATGTCCACGGTCTAGTTGTCAGATAGCTTCAAGGCTGAAGGGTCCGCAGGACCCGTGCCCTGTGAAGGCGGCACGGAGGCTTGGCGCAGGCGCACGAAGGGCACCAGCTAAGGGTGTGGTGTGCCAGGGCAGTGGGCCTGAGCTGGGTGTGCAAGGCGAGTCCAGCCACTTTCTCAAAGCGCTGATGCCCGGGCCCCACCTCCAAAGTCTTGCTCGGCTCCCCTCTCCTTGCCGGTAGGGAGCCGCCTGTCCACGCACAGCACAAGCCTGCCTACTACACCCACCGGGACTGGGACTGGTTGACCAAGCCCATCTAGTTCTGGGCTTCTGTTCTGGTGAGCCCATTTGGCGAGATCTCAGGCTAAGCTGCATCTCTTTGTCTTCAGCAATAAAGCTGATGAAACTGGGATAAAATGTAATAATAAAGGCAGTCATTTCACTGCCATCTGCCTACTCCTTTTCTCCTTCCTCTACTTAGAACTGAGAGAAAAGGGACCCTCACGAAGCCCACAGCACCGGACCTCAGGCTCTGTGTGAAATGTCTACAGGCCTCATTATTTCATTCTGTCGTCACAACCCTCTGACATACCGTCCTTACCATTAGGGAGGGAACTGAGGCTCACACAGATCAGGTGACTTGCTCCAGGCCCCAGGAGGAGAGCTCAGTCGGAGCCTCGCCTGCCCCAAGGCCTGCCGGCCTTGCCTGCCGCAGCCCCGTGAGTTCCAGCCGTTTCCCCACCTTGGAAGGCGGACCTGGCCCAGCCCCAGCAGTCACCCCTTTCTCATCCTGGAGACATTCTTCTCCGGAGATGATTAATTATCCAATATATATTTCTTTAGGTCAGGAAAAAATATGTAAGTGGAAGAACCCTCCACGAATCCTGAGCTCTTTGGGAAAGAAGCACCCAGAGATAAGCACTCTCATTTTACAAACGGCCAGAAGTACAAAGATCAAGCCACAGGCCTGAGGCAGCTGGGAGTCAATGGAGGATCTGAGATCAGGGTCCAAGGCGTCCGGATCCCAGTCCAGTACTAGGGGCTGACGAGTGTCTTAAACCCACAATGTAAGCTAATGAAGACTTGTCTGAACTGTTTGAGGAAAGCAATGTGCACGCCAAAGCGCGGGGAGTAAAACGCCATGAACAAATGAATAGACGGTGCGATTTGGAGTCATCGATCTTCCAGGCAGTTTCAAGTCCTTGCTGATCTTCACGAATTCTCTGAAATACCTGTTCCCAGAGGCCACGGCTCAGATGGCTCAGGAATGGAGACTACAGAAGCGGTTTTTTTTAATGTTAGATCCATCATGAACACAGCAGCAGAGACATGTTTTATTTCTCACACCAAAGAGCAGAGAAGTGGCAAAGAACAAAAACGAGCATCATGTGTTCTGATGATATTCAGCATGCGAGGGTGCCAGGACGGGTCAGCTGTGACCTGACGTCATGCAACAGTTTTGGAAATGCCCAAAGGCCACGGCCAATGAGAGCACACGGGAATCATCTCAGGGCCACGGAGTGCCCACTGGACAGGGGGAGCACTTAAGAAATGAACAGATTCCTGCTGCTTCTCTTACCACTGAGGAATCCTCTGTAGTCGCCGCCCCACCTCCCTGCCAACCCCACACACAATCAGGGCAGCAGGACTTAGAAGCCTGAGTCCGTATCCCCTGGATTCTTTTTCTAATAAATGCTTTGTGGATGGTCAGCATATACATATTTTACTGCTGTTTTTCAGAATCTTGTTTTGTGAGCTGCATCATGTCCATATGCCCAAAGCGAACTAGAACATCCAGAACATTCTGGACACAGCTGTTCCTCTCCAGCATTATTTTATCTCCAGAACTAGAGTATCGGGCAACAGCCCTGCCCCAGGACAGAGCTTAGTTCCCAGGGTGATGCTATGAATGCTGCTATTTCTGCATCACAGGAGGAAGCCAGTGCTGGCAGCCGCTGCAGGTCGACGGATTCGCATCTCCAGGATGCACGAGAGCCAGCGTCTGGAGGTGGACCCGGTCCTGGCCCCTGCCCTCTCCAACACACCAGAGCTGGAAGTGTTTCCTCCAAGAAAATACTTCCCATCATGTCCTCAGCTGATTGTTTCCACACACAGACTCGGCGGCTTAGATACTAGAGAATGAGCAGAAGACCCCGGACTATGATTAGTCCTTTCATTTTACGCTGAACATGGCTGATATTTCCTCTTGCCTCACACTCCACAGCCCAAGTGTCTTCCAGGGGCTCCCAAATTTCAAAACCCACACAGTAACTTGAACAAGACCTCTGCTGATGCCCACTTCCTGACGTCATACGCGAGGCTGCCTCATCACCTGGCCCTGGTTTCTGGCTCCTGCGGTCGCTGATGCCCGGGGCACCAAAGCTGGCTTCAGCTCCATAGTCTGCATAAAGCATCTTTACGGTCCACACAACCGTTCCGTGAGTCTCGTGTCAAAATCCACAACCCTTTCAACTTGTTTAGATTCAACTCTGCAACCATAAATGAGATTTTATCTTAAACAATACGTTTTTATCTTAGCTCTGGGCATATCCTAGTGAAATAACGTTTATGGGTCTGCCTCCATCACTGGGTCATAAGGCCCTCAGGGAGGGGGCAGTTTACTTCCAGGGCACACACAACACAGGGCTGGATCCTAGCAGGCAATTAACAGATATCTACCAGATGAGGCGAGAGGCCCGCTCGGAAAGAGAAGCCCCCTCCTTGTTTAGGTGAGGTGGGGAGACGCGGCCACTAGCCTCCACTGAGGAAGAGAAGGCAGAGCAGTGGAATGCAAAGACTGCGGTGAGGGCTCAGGGAGGACCCGCAGCAACGCGCCCGCCTGGCACCATCTCGGGTCGGCTCCGGCCCCCGCGTTCTGCCATTGTCACTAAGGCCGACACCTGCCGAGTACTTACACACACCAGACGCTGTGCTGAGGAGCTTCGTGAACCTCTCATTGAGATTTCGTAGCAGCCCAATGACGAGAATACTCTTTCCAAATAGTGAAACTGAGACCTAGCCTTGAGTAACTTGCACCAAATAACCAAAGAAGCCCGTGCCAGAGCCAGAAGTGAAACCCAAGCCACTTGACTTCCACACTGCGCTGTGCCTCCCCAACCCAGATATCAAGTCCAAAAATTTGACTTTTACAGGTTGGCTAGAAAGTTCCCGATGTAAAGCAGTCTGATATAAAAGATGCACAGTAATTCCCAGATGAATGAGCCTGCTATTACTATTGAGACTGACCTCACCCGCGCGGGATCATGTGACTGACCGCAGGGTAGCTTGAATTGTTTCCTTGTTCTCTGGGCATCGGTGGAAGTAGCTGAGTGGACCTAACTGTCCTTTTGCAATGTACCACTGATTTTATGCCAGGAGTTTCAACTGTGCTTGTTGAGGACACTGTATCTCTGAGAACTGGACCGGTGCGTGCCATCACACTCCTTCCCGTGAGTAATGACATCACCAGGTGGACGCCACTGCCAGTCCTCTGGAGGCCTCCGGCTTTTCCCAGGACGCAGTGATGAAGCCGTTGGTAACGGTAGGCTGAGATGTTATATACCGTCTGATAACCCACAGGACTTCAGCCCCGGTTTCCAACTCCAGAGGGACTCATATCTGCAGTAGACATTAGGAATGCCACACATCTTACCACAAGCCAGAATTTCACTTGGTCCTAAAGGCCAAGAGTGGTGAGGAATTCACAGGAGAAAGGGGAGATACTCTGAGCAAACAGACGACACTGGGGCCAGTACAGAGATGAGTGTGGCTGGAACACAGGACTTGGGGTTTCCTGTGAGAGGCAAGGATAACCTGGGGCCGGTTCAAGGGAGATTATACAGAAGTGTTGTTCTACATTCACCGAGTAGAGAACAGGGCATCAGAGGTTTCGGAGCCGAGTGACGCAGCTGGAGCAGAGTTCGGGGAAGATTTCTCTGTCAGCGTATGAGGCTCCGATGATGGCAGTGGGAAACCAGTTCGCAGGCCACTTCAGCAGTGTGAGTCAGAGGTCACCAGGTCTTAAGACTGGGCAACACAGACGCCCCGGCAATGGCTGTAATATCCGGTTTCCCAGGGTGCCCTGGTCTCCTTACTCGTGAGCGCCTTCGGGAATCAACAGCTGTTCGCAAGGCTCTCAGGACAGTGGGCTCCGTTTCTTGTGGCAGGGACCCTGGCTTGGGCAGTCGTTTTGCACAATGACAAGTCCCACTGAGATGGAGTATTTCGTGTACATTGTAAAGAATTTATGGATGCGTATGGAAAAGTTCTTCATGAACTCATACGCTACAAAAAAGACATTTCTAGCCAAGTACCCCGCACCCACAGCACAGCCCTGCTAATATAGGCCTCAGCATCTTGTGACGCCTCACCAACAAGGACAGACCACCTTCACTGCGGAACACTATTCTAAGACCGAAAAAGAATCTCTCCAAATTTGCTGATGCTCCTTAGTATTTATGTCTGAAAACTCATCTGTAACTCCTTTTCTTCAAGATGACTGCACGTGCTCTGCCAACAGTGTGAGCTTTATTTCAGCACCTTGAATCCAAGTCCTCAAAAAAATTTTTAAATAGACTTTGTATACTTCATTTTTTGTGGCATATGTCCCATAACACATACAGCTGTGTTCGGACAGTTCTTGGCTGTATTAGTACAAAACAAAGTTAAAGGCTGTTTTCTTCAATTAGTCTGTTGTATTATACTAAACTACAATACACTAGTTAGACTAGTATATAGTATATATTACTATACTAATACAAATATACATACTAAAATACAGTAAGGAATTATACTCATATACTAATACACATATGCTAATTGTAAGTATACTAATATACATATGTATGTTGCTCTGACTGTATGCAAACCACAATCTTACACTAACATACACGTGTGCTGATATACATATGCTAATAGGCAAAGCTCTTTGCAGTTAACAGAACACTTTTTACTATCATTTCTTTCATCCCTCCCTAGATATAATCACTTTTAGAATTGTATGTCAGGGTGGGGGGAACAGGTGAAGGGGATAATGAGGCACAAACTCTCGATCGTAATATAAATTAGTCATGGGGATGAAAGCACAGCACAGAAAACATAGTCAGTGGCTCTGTAACATCTTCCTAGGGTGACAGATAGTAGCTACACTGTTGGGGTCAAGATTTAATAATCTGGGTAACTGTGGAATCACTGTGTTGTATACTTGAAACCAATACAACTTGTACCTCAACAATACTTCAATAAAAAATATCAACAGCAAATGTAAATATAATTGTACATCAAAAGGGCAGACAGTTAAATTATTCAGTATTAGGTCCTTAAAAGGTAAGTAAGGACAGCAGCCTATCCTCGCCCGGCGTCCCGCCTCCCCTGCGGCCTGGGGTGAGGGGGCAGCGCCCGCCCACCTGTTTCGGTGGCGGTTGTGCGGGGGAGGGGCACGCTGCGGCTCTAACCCACTGCCCACCTGCTCCACGGCCTCGGACAAACGCCTCACCTCTCTAACATGCTGCGCCCTCACCAGAAAAATCCCCACGTAGCTGCTTTCCTCACAGTGTGGGGGTGAAAACTACAGATTTCATGTGTCAAGTGGCTGCCTGCTTCCAGGTACTTCCTCCCCTGGACACCACTGTCCAATAGTGACTCTTGGTCATTCCCATTAAAAACAGGCATGAAAATATCATCAACTCTATTTTACTTTACTGAGTGATTTTCTATGCTATTCTCAGTGTGAAAGGATTTTAACACAACTGTGCCCGTAAAGGCTGAATGTTATCCTCATTTTACAAATACTGAAACTGAGGCTCAGAAAGCTTAAGCTACATGTCCAAAATCATACCACGTCTAGATTTGCTGATTCCATAGTAACACTCGTTCGTTTGTTCAATGTTTACCAACTGCTCATTCAGTCACCCGAGAGGGTCTCTAACAGACAGCCCTGTCGCCCTGCATCTTGTGCCTCACTGAGGAGAAGAGACGGTAAACTGAGAAAAATTAGGTGCATAGTATTCTAGAAAGTTCTGAGCTGATGGAGAAACTGAAGCAGGAGAAAGTTCCTAGGGAGTGCCGAGTTATAAGGTGACATCTGAACAGAGACGTGAGAGAAGCAAGAGGGGAAAGCAGATACCTGCAGAAGGAGGGGCCCAGACAGAACAAGAAACGGGGAAGGCCTGTGCCGAGTGATCAGGGCGAGTGCATCCACGGGGCGGCGAGCAGGCCAGGGTGCCTGGACAGGAGTGGGCGCAGGGGACTCCAAAAGGACCGGCTGTGGGAGGGAGCCCCTGATGGACATCAGGCCTCGAGGCCACCCTGTGCACGTGGTTTCCATCCCGCGCGGGGCTGGAGGTGCCGCAGTGACCCAATCTGCCTTTGGTGCTGGAAGGGATGCTCTGTCTGATGGCTGGAAATGTATGCGCTTCTGATGTGTTTAAAAGAGCCAGCGAGATTTGCTGACGGATTGGATGTTGACGTGGCCTGGCAGAACCCTGAGGGGAGGTGCCATTTCGGAGACAGACTCCTCTAAGCAGACATAGACAACGCAGTACTAATTAATGTTTGTTTAGCCCTTTCTGTGGGCTGGACTCTTGGCAAGCATTTTTCATACAACATCTCACCAACCCTCTGGATTTACCAGAGAAGAAGCCGAGGTTCAGAAAGGCTACAAGCTGCCCAAGGTCGTACAGTTACCAACCCGCAGAAACAGGCAGAAGTGCCTCCTGACAGCAAAGCCAAAGCCCTAATTACTGCTGAGTTTCCTAGACGGAGGAGCGGAAGATACAGAGTAACGTCCCAACAGGAAGGAAGCAGGAGCCCTAAGGAGTCAGTACCACGTGACGACTGGCACACAGCAGGCACTCAGTGAACACCTGCTGAGGGATGAACAAAGGGAAAAAGAAATGTAGGAATCATGGCTGGACAACAGAGCAGCCTTGGGCGAGAAATAAACACTGAAGATTCTATTCCAGGGAGAATAAACTCTGGATAATGGGATACTCAAGTCTGCAAAAGGATAAATGGCAGAAAGGTAGAAAAACCAAATATATATCTGCTAGGACCTGCTGCTCTGAGGTAAGGATGGCTCTCAGTACATTATCTTGATTTATTTGATGAAAAGGCAGGCAGACATAAGGAGACGACACATAGCATTTTACACAATATAAATGCTTACTACAGATTTTGAAACAGCAATATAACAGAATCTGGAACCTCTTGCTTTTAGTCTGACACAAGAGACCACACAGCCTTTTAAATAAAAAGCAACCTTTTAGGTCAATCAATGAAACCACTGTAAGTGGCTCTGCCTGGACACCAGGACGGTGTTTGTGATGCGCTGGCTAAGTGGGAGGGTCAGAGCCATAGAACACTTGCTGGACTTTCTGTTCGCATCATCTGAACCTCTAAGCGATGTTCCTGCCAGACAGTCTTTGGGATGACAAGGTGCTGACCCGCCGGCAGGTTTTCATTGCAGAGAACCTGGAAGCACAGTTGGTCTGGGGTTCTCTCCTCACAAAGAGATTGGCCAACTTTTCATTCAAATGGCAGAATATTTATGAGCAGTTTCATGTTGTAAAATTGAAAAATGATCACCCCTGAATTCTCTAAAAATGTTCAGACCTCCTTTTCGGTGACATCTATGTGTGATACTCTAGACACAGCGCCAGAGAAAGTAACAGTTAATGAAGAAAACAAAACCTACTCATATCTGAAATTATTTTTTAAGTGGTTTGTGGTTTAAAGAAGCAAATTAAATAAAACAGAGAAGTATTGGTTTCTGACCAGAGGTTCACATGGAGATGGGGTGGGGGTGGGGACAAAATGTCAAAATCCATAATTACCTTTAAACTGCAGAAATGGGGGTGGTGGGTTAGGAAGTGCATGCACGCAAATATTCAACACTTTACAGCAAAACCGGCTTTCACGAGGCCTCTCTACCAGTCTTGTATTCAATAAATTGAAAGAACTTTTTTCCGAATACAAAACAAAACCCTGAAATCTTCCTGGAACTCCTTCCATGGATTTCAGACAATATACCATTATAAGTAGCGGGAAATACATTTGTCAGCGTTCCTTTGCTCGTGAAAATGTTCTCTGGTTCACGAGACAGTCACACAAGTGCCCAAACCAGCGTGTGGTGGGTCCACCGGCCCTCACGCCCCTCAGTGCGCCCGGCGGGTGTCCTGGCGGCCGGGAGGCCCCACGCGGGTCAGGCACGCCCGGGCCTGGGGCACCTCCGGCACCGGGAACCGCTCCCTTGGTCACCGGCAGTGAGGGGGCACCCGCCGCCGGGGCGGCCTGACGCGCACCTGTCAGTGTGATCGCGGCCGCAGGACGGGCGCGCCGGGGGTCCCCGCCGCCCCTCCCCGGGGTCCCCCTGCGCCCGGCCCCCATGCGCCCCGGGGTCCCCCTGGGCCCGGCCTCCATGCGCCCTGGGGTCCGCCTCGCCTCCCCAGGGGCCCCGCCCCGGGGTCCCCCTGCGCTCGGCCCCCATGAGCCCCGGGGTCCCCGCCTCCCTCCCCAGGCCCCCTGCGCCCCGGCCCCCCTGCCGCCCGCGGAGGGAGCGCGGCGCCGGCTCGCGGGGCCCGACCGCGGCCGCAGGGGGCCGGGCTGCAGGCTGGGGTCCGGCCGGGTCCCGGCGCGGCGCCCTCGCCCTGGGCCGCGCACTCACCGAGGGGCGCGCGGGCGCCGCAGCCCCGGAGACGCTGGAGCACCGCCTCCGCCGCGCGCCGCGTCCGCCGCCAGCGTCAGCAGCGGCCCGGCCCCCGCGCGCCCTCCGCTCCCGCCCCCGCGCCCGCCCCGCAGGCCCGCGGCCGCGCGCCCGTCCTCCCGGGGAGGCGGCGGGCCGCTCGCGGGACCCGGGGCCTCGCAGGGACTTCCCAGCGGGTCTGGCCGACACGCACACCCTCCTCACACGTGGGCACGCGTGTGTGATGTGTTGCAAGCCGCTGTCCTGCATGCTGGTACTCCGTCCGACGGAGGTGGCCCCTCGCGCAGGCACATGGGGAGAGGGATGATTCGCATACGCCTCCAGCTTCACACCGAGGCGAGAACCAGCCCCTCTCCTGGATGCGCAGCTGATTCGGGAGTGGAGGAGGGCTGTCAGCCTGAGGGGAGGTGCACAGAGCCACCCCCGAGCCCTGCAGGGCGGCTCAGCCCACGGGGGTAGCGGGGACCTCACCCCCGGCCGCTCCGAGACCGGCGTCTCTCCCCTCCCAGGATGCTCACGTGCATCTACTCCGCAGCCACTTTGTGATCAGCTTAGGCACTCTTAGCTTGGTAAGATTCTCTCTAGTGACGCTCTCAACTTTTCCCAAAGTTGTTTCCGACATCAGCGCTTTGTACATTTTACTACGACATTTCTTACATTTGCTGAACTTTTTTGCAACATCTTTTTCTCCCCCTGCCAAGCTATGAACTCCTTGAAGGCAGAGACTAAATGTTACCATTGCATCCTAACGTGGTGAGATAGTAACAGCTCAATGGATGATACATTAATTCCACAGATTAATCATTAGAGTCTACTGCATTCTTGTAATTGTGCATTTTTATCATTGTGATCAGAATTATTTTACAAAGAATTATCAAGCTGTTTAACATGGGTTCCACGTGCTATATTTTCCTTGTTTCTTCATTTAAAGCAAGGAGTCTTCAAACAGCGAAAGTGGAAAATGTTAAAGCTTCACAAATTACACAACATAAATTAACCCGTTTTAAAACGTAAAAAAAAAAAAAAACAGAAGGTACTTTTCCTATCATTGAAAGTCTGTAAAACACATTGCATTTCAAAGATTAGAGGGGTAAAAATCATTGAGCGGCTTTTTTCTACTTGAGAGAGAGAACTCACTCCACTCAACAGTCATTTGAGTTACAGGTGTGTCTCCTAGAATGAAGTTTAGTTAAAAAGATGGGAAATAGATGGCCTCAGTTACAATGTGCTATTACTTTTCCTTTACATCCCCATCTTAGCATACAGTCTTGCCTCCATTAATATTATTTTTAAGAATAAGCTTGACCAACACTCACTGTTTGTTTAGTTGGAAGCTGTCAAGGTTTAAACAATGTAGTTCTTCAGGACCACTTCGAAGGAAAAATATTGAAACGAGCAAGGTTTTCTTTGATCTTGAGCCCTTTTCACCGCTGATCAGGAAGTGTATGCCCTTTCCCTTGACAGCGCCCAGGATCTTGGTCCAGCCCTACCCGAGGACCAGGCAGAGAAACAGCCTCTATACTTGATCTTTGTCACTGTAACGTGTAGTAGTAAAAGCTCGCCTCTTTGGAGGCTTGTTGTCTACCAGGCGCATTCTGTGTACTGGAGTGTTTAATCTCCGCAACAGCCCTGTGAAACAGCTGCTCCTAGAATCACTTCCACGTGTACCTTTGCATAAAGAGACACAGAGACAGAGCAGTCCACGCACACGTAGTGGAGCCTGGATCGGAAGCCTGGCAGCATGGCCTGCCCGGCCGCATTTTAATCTCTCCCACATTTCGACTTCTTCCCCATGTACCAGGAAGGGGATGTGGGTTTTACAGTAAGGAGACCTGGAATAAGGAATACTGGTGCCAACTGTGGTTTCACCACACCCCTAAGCAATTTGCTACACAATTACAATAAAATTACAGTAAGAATCCTTCAGTCTTCTTTTCTTCACCATGGAAGTAGAGAGATGTTAGATTTTAGGGTCCAAAGTAGGTAATTTGTCCAATTCAAGATCCTACTCAGGATTTAGGCCACTATTTTCCATCTCTTTCCTTCCCTGTCACTGCCACAGAGACCCCTTGGGAGTGTTAAATGCCCTGTTGTGTCTAAAACAATATACAGTACAGTGTCCAGTACATAATGGGTTCTTCATAAAGGCCATTCTGTCTTCCCATCAAAGCTGAATAGTCTATGAAATGCTCCTTGGGCCCAGTCTATTGGTCCAGAACACAGATGCTGACTGCTTACTCACAGAGATTAACCATTTCTCTAATGTTGGCCAGAGTTTCTTAAAATAGTAGAGAAAGAAGCCTCAAGAAGAAACCAAGATGCAGAGCTTCAGATCTACCCCCCACTCTGTCCACATTTTAACCTAAAAGTTCCATTTCTTTCCTGTATAGGAGTACAACAATGTGGCTACCATTTCAGTTAGTGTCACGACAATGATAAAATAGTTTAAGTAGAAACTCTCAAATCATACTGCCCCTTCACGTGCCCACTCCACCTCCACATACAGTCCACCCTGCAGACAGGCATTCTGGGACAGCAAAAATCTGCCCCAACAAGGCCCCGTGCGATGACTTAACTACCTGGTGGCGGCTCTGAGCACACTCCTGGGGGCTTTGCACCTCCGCGCCTGCCCAGCCCCACATCCCAGGCTGTCGCCGGCCTCTCTCATCAGTGATCCCAAGTGCCCCTGAGCATGGCACTTCGTTTCTGGGGACCACGGGAAACCGGCCCCAGGTTCTCTGCGGGTTCGTGGCTGCCAGAGTCTGAGGTCAGATGGCGAGATCGGGTGCAGCCACTCTGGAAGCAGCCCTCACGAGGCCACCGTGTCTGCCAGTCCCACCTACAGGGTGGGCCCGCAGCTGCTGGTCAGCTGGGCGCCAGGGTCTCCCAGGTGCAGTCGGGCAAACCACCGTCAGAGGGGGCTCCTCGAGAGGGGGCAGCACCAGCTCCTTTGGCCAGAGAGCCACCCCGGGTGTGGGCGGCTAGACTCCCAGGGGGCCTCTGGTGGCTTATCTGACCGGAGGGATTTGAGAAGGAGGCTACCCCGGTAATAATGAACTTGCTCAGGTCTCGTTTCCCTTATATACACAAACATTAGCTAACGGATTGATCACTGTTATTGAAAAACCAATGCTAGACATTTGCATATAATTTTTCATGTTTTAGTGCTGTTAGAGCATGTAATGTAATTTGTCACTTAAAACTATTCAGTTGGCACAAAACGTTTCTTTTTTGTAAGAACAGGAAAACAACAGAAAATCAGCATTTGAACTGATTTGGAAAGTGCTTCAGCTAATTCACTCTCAGCATACAGCATTTTTTTTACAAACTCACACCGCTTGCTCTGAGTTGGTTTTCAGTCTCACCCCAAAGAATGAGGCCATCCTTTTCTCAACCATCTATCTTATCTTCTACCTTGAGTAGATGTGTTGTGTCATGGAAAGAAGGTAGACTTCTTGGAGTCAGACTTGTGTACAAATCCTATTTTGCTGCATACTTTGAGACAGACATCCTTTTCTAAAATATATGGCTAATAATATATAATTCATGGACCACTGTGAGCATTAAACAATGGACGTAAAACATCTATTATATTCTGGTACATATTCTATTACCTTCCCAATAGATCTTTATGTTTCATTACAGTGGACACCAGATCTAGTGAAAGGTCTGACATTTATACAGTAAAATTCCTACATGAATTCTTCACCAACATTTTAATGGGGAAGCATCATCACACCCTCTGAATCTCTGACTTTTACTCAGTACCTCTTAAATGTATTATGTGGGTTCAGTTTGTACAATAGATCTAATTTATTATAATATTCTCTGCAGTTAATTCTACTAGTAGAATTATCTGTTGAGAAAAAGATTTTTGAATGTCAACATAATACTCAAGCAGTATTTAATTCATCCTGTTAGCAAACATATACTGTCTACTGTGGGCACTACAGAACATCATCTCTGCTCATCTGGAAGAGAAAGACGGAGCCGCCTATCGCTCCGCTGCAGCAGAGAAACCAAGGAATGCGAACCCTGTGAGCGCACGGAGGCCTGAACCACTTGCTTTGCCTAGAGATGTGGAAGGATATGCAAAAGCAACAGGTCATGTAACAAGAATGCTATGAGAATAATTTTTAGCATCACAAAGCTTGTTTTAATGCCAGTTTACATGTATGTTCACATTAATTTGCGTTCTGCCCTGTGAATCAATAGGTTACTTTGTGTATGAATGCTTTGTGCCAAAATAGATTTACTGCATTTAAGAGAGAAATCCAGAGAACTTAGATTTCTTCAATTCCAAAATATCATCACAGCATATAATTTTTTCATAAAACATTTATAAAACATAATCGAAAAAGTTGAAGGGCTCCTTAGACCTTTACAGATATTATAAATACTAAGCTATTAGAGCCATTTATGAAGTTATTGAAGTTAATTTTGTTACATAACTGACCTAAGTTACAGTGTATTATTATTATTGAAAAAGCATTTATTGTGAATTTACTTGAATATGTAAAACTGAAGTTTTGATCATTTCCTGAGGGTGCCTCTGCAGGATTTGGCAGCAAGAAGAGAAAAATCTTGTTTTTGATATGTGTTGGGTGGTTATGTGGGCTAAGAGCTAAGTGTCTGTCTGCCTGAAGCTGGTCTCTCATAGACGTCAACTCACATTTGTGCCTTAGGAAAAATACACGTAAGCACGTGGATGACACCTGGGTGCCCAGAGAGAAGTGCTGAAATCCTGAGCATCAATTTCATACCCATAGCGGCTGTGTTTTGGGGCAGCTGCGTCCGGAGAGGTCTCTCCCTGAGCACTAGGGGGAACCTCAGCCTAGATGCAGGAGGGTTCTTGACTCTGCTTGAGAAAAAATTCTCGAACAGTTCAGAAGAGTGTAGGAAGGAATTCATTAAAGCGAGCGTGTGTGGGTGGCAGCAGCCCTGCAGGCAGCAGAGAGCACGGAAGGGCAGAGGTGGGAAAGGGAAGCTCACTGAACTCCTGCTCGGCACAGGGCAGATTTCGGTCGCCAACTCCCGAAGCCAGGGTCCCCTGG